GGTTGGCGATATATGACAACCAAAAATAATGTTTTTGGTACAGTTACCTGGATGGCATGTTATTCAAAGGAGTTGTATTGGTAGCATCTGACTGTAAATCCATTTGTTGGAAATTAACATGCCCGTTCCACCACCTCGGCCAGATGCACGTGAAGTGTGGGAGAAAGTGTGCTTAATTGAGAGAGCAGATGGGGTAGCATTGTCACATGGTTTGATCCAGGTCTCAGTGAGAGCCAGTGCATTGAGTGACAGGTGGTTTGCATATGCAATAATGAAGTCTGCTTTGTTTACAGCTGATTGGCAGTTCCACAGTCCCATTGACAGGTGGATGTCTTCGGGGGGAGTTGGTTTTAGCGAGTTGAGGTTTTGAAGGTTGTGAAAGCGGTTTGCTGTGTGTGACCTTCCTCTGAAGCCAGTCATCACAGTTATAGGATAATGGCACATTTTGCTAGGTGTCGATGGAGCAGCGTCTGGGTCAAGTCTGTTTGCTCTGTGTACCTGCTCTGTGGACACGCACAGGTAGACACGCATGACTTTACCCAGGAGTGTCTTCACACCGGAGGGGGTGAGACACAAGGGCTGACGCTTCAGTTATGCCACCAAACTTATGCTGTGCTACTAGTTGGAAACAGGTGTTCATGCAGCAGCTGATTGCAATGGTTGAGACCTAGATCACCTGATGAGTGTTTTCAGGGAGGGGAGAAACAGCTCGTTCACAGCCCCTGTTTGCACTTATTGTTTTCACTTGGTCCAAACCGGAGTTACTAGACAACAGGATTACTCACAGATGAGTTTCCTTCTCTTTCCCAATGGAAGATAGTGCAAAGCAAAAGTTTAAGAAGACAAAAACAAGCACTAACAGACACTCAAGGCCCTTCGGTGCAGATTCAAGTCTGACTCCCTCGTTCTGCTGGGGGACTTTAACGCCCACGTGGGCAACGACAGTGAGACCTGGAGAGGTGTGGTTGGGAGGAACGGCCCCCTGATCTGAATTCGAGTGGTGTTTTGTTATTGGACTTCTGTGCCAGTCATGGATTGTCCATAATGAACACCATGTTCAGACATAAAGGTGTCCATATGAGCTCTTGGCACCAGGATACCTTAGGCCGCAGCTCGACGATCGACTTTGTTTCATCTGACCTGCGGCCGCATGTCTTGGACACTCGGGTGAAGAGAGGGGCGGAGCTGTCAACTGACCACTACCTGGTGGTGAGTTGGCTCAGATGGTGGGGGAGGATGCCGGTCAGACCAGGCAGGCCCAAAAGTATCGCGAGGGTCTGCTGGGAACATCTGGCAGAGTCTCCTGTACGAAGGAGCTTCAATTCCCACCTCCGACAGAACTTCCAAAATGTTCCGGGGGAGGCGGGAGACATTAAGTCTGAATGGACCCTGTTCCGTGCCTCCATTGTTGAGGCGGCCGACCGGAGCTGTGGTAGCAGGATCGTCAGTGCCTGTCGTGGTGACAACCCCCAAAGTGGACATTGGCGGTTAGGGATGCTGTCAAGCTGAAGAAAGAGTCCTATCAGGTCTATTTGGCCTTTGGGACTCAAGAGGCAGCTGACGGGTACCGGCAGTCCAAGCGGAACGCGGCTCGGGTGGTCGCCAAGGCAAAAACCCGGGCATGGGAGGAGTTTGGTGAGACCATGGAGCAAGACTTCTTTTACAAGCCAATTTACCGGGCTAGCTCCACTCTTCTAGATTTTACTAATATCTCAGGGTTTGGCTTGTAATCGGTGTAGTGGGCGTAACATGCCAGTTTACCAACAAACACTCTTACTCTATATAGAGTTGATTAGCAATCACCAAAATACCCAGGGCTTCTAATTCTGGCCAAGTTACCATTATGTAGAAATAAGGAGGCTCAAACACACCTACACACACCCCCAGTCCATGAAGCTTATGTACACTTCAGGTGAAGACCCTTGCCAGCTGTTCCTTTTATGCTGAGGAGACACCTGACTTTACCTGTAGCCTACCATGGAGGAAACACTTATATCAATAACACCTAGGGATGGCATTTACAGCCAGCATCTCTCCTTTGCTTGGTTACCGACAGGAGAAGACCCCACTCGTAAATCCTTTTTTCGTTCCTTGAATCCGAGGAACTAAGTTTTATTTCACACAGATGAAAAAAGAATAATAATCCAAATGAAACCCTGACAAAACGGGTTAAAAAGTGAAACAACTCTTTGCCAATAAACCGAGTTATAGCAAAGTTGAGCTGAATAAGCTCTCCAAAAATGACACTAGGTCAGATTATCACAGACAAAAAGCTCAAAGCAAAAGCTTCCTTCTTTTCATCTCTCTACCTCACACACTCTTCCCATCAAAGGCCAACCTCCAGACCCAATAGCTCCTTTTTATTTACTCTGTCCCACCTCCCTCACAGTCATTTCTTTGTTCGCTGCTTCAGACTTCAAACTTCCTGGTCACGTGTTCCTCTTCTTCTTGTTACTTCTCCAACGGCCCCGAAGAGACCATTAATCTTGGATGTCATGATGTCACCTTTTCTTCTCCCAGTCTTCATCCGTTCATTTGTTTCTTCTTCTCAGCGCCTCCTGCAGGCTTCCTTTCTTTTCCTTTGGGATTACATCACCTCCTCTCGTATCCACTGGTCAGTAGGGGGGGGGGGACGTGGCATGATTACCCCTTCCTTTTCTTCTGCCCAGGATCAAATGGTCATCTCCAGCATTAGCTGGACAAGATGTCTTATTTATATGGTTATAGCATCTTGACCAACTCCACAGAGGATAAAAGATAACATACATGCTTACTCCCAACATCTGTTCAGGTCAAAACAGGTTATATCCACAACATGAATCGTTTGACCATATCAGCAGAATGAAGGCACATCACTAATTTATGACATCACAGTTCAGGGGGCTAGAAGTCTGCCTGCAGACAGACAGACAGACACAGACAGACACAGACAGACAGACAGACAGACAGACGCATAATAAGAGAAGGTAACAGGCCTATAGCTTGGTTACACACACGGATACACCTTGTAGAGCCTAGAATTGATTTCACATAATGAGACATAATCCAGACTTAATTCCATACATTAACAAGTCTGATTATACTCCATACAACAACCTCTGTATGGCTTCGAGGAGATTCTGGTCCACCATCCGGCGCCTCGGGGGGGGGGAGCAGTGCGCTACCAACGCTATCTATAGTGGGGACGGTGTGCTGCTGACCTCTACTCAGGATGTTGTGGATCGGTGGAACACTGGACCAGCTCTATACCCTTAGGGGGATCCTGGAGGGGTGAGTGGGAATTTGCCCAACCAGTCTACGTGTGTTTTGTGGATTTGGAGAAGGTGTTTGACCGCGTCCCTCGGGGGACCCTGTGGGGGGTACTCCGGGAGTATGGGGTACTAGGCCCTCTGATACGGGCTGTTAGGTCCCTGTATGACCGGTGTCAGAGCTTGATCCGCATTGCCGGCAGTAAGTCGGGCTCGTTCCCAGTGAGAGTTGGACTCCGCCAAGGCTGCCCTTTGTCACCGATTCTGTTCATAACCTTTATGGACAGGATTTCTAGGCACAGCCAAGGTGTGGAGGGCATCCGTTTTGGTGGCCTGAGGATCAGGTCTCTGCTTTTTGCAGATGATGTGGTCCTGTTGGCTTCATCAGAACATGATCTTCAGCTTTCGCTGGAGCGGTTCACAGCCGAGTGTGAAGCAGCTGGGATGAGAATCAGCTTCTCTAAATCTGAGACCATGGTCTTGATTCAGAAAAGGATAGAATGCCTTCTCCGGGTCAGGGATGAGGTCCTGCCCCAAGTGGAGGAGTTTAAGTATCTCGGGGTCTTGTTCATGAGTGAGGGAAAACTGGAGCGTGAGATCGATAGGTGGATTGGTGCTGCATCTGCAGTGATGCGGGCATGTACCGGTCTGTCGTGGTGAAGAGAGAGCTGAGTCAGAAGGCAAAGCTCTTGATTTACCGGTGGATCTACGTTCCTACCCTCACCTATGGTCATGAGCTTTGAGTGGAGATCGAAAGATCGAGATCGCGGATACAAGCGGCCGAAATGAGTTTTCTCTGAAGAGTGGCTGGGCTCTCCCTTAGAGATAGGGTGAGAAGCTCGGTAATTCGGCAGGGGTTCAGAGTAGACCTGCTGCTCCTCCACATCGAGAGGAGCCAGTTGATGTGGCTCGGGCATCTGGTCAGGATGCCTCCTGGATGCCTCCCTGGTGAGGTTTTCCGGGCAGGTCCAACCAGGAGAAGACCTAAAGGTAGACCCAGGACACGGTGGAGGGACTATGTCTCTCACCTGGCCAGGGAACGCCTTGGGATTCCCCCGGAGGAGCTGGCCCAAGTGGCTGGGGAGAGGGAAGTCTGGGCCTCTCGCCTTAGGCTGCTGCCCCCGTGACCCGACTCCGGATAAGCGGATGAAAATGGATGGATGGATGGATGGTGGTGTTTACTGTGAGACTGATTACACTGAGAAGATACAGATATTAAATCCAATGGTCCAGTTCTGCAAACCTGGTGGTGCCCTGATTAATTAATATAAGATTATAAACAACTAAACAAGCTAAATCTACACCACATTTGAAATATAGATATAAATCTATATTTATTGCTACACAAGTACAAGGTATTAAATACCACACAATGTGTAAAATCCTTCCCATGTACTAAATTAGCTCAGATCTGTGTGTTAGTATGGTTGGTAAATGGAGGGCCTAGTCTTTGTTCTGATTCTAGCGCAGATCCACTAAGACTGAAAGCATCAAAGCCTAATCACACATTTTTTGATGGAGAAATTTGATTTTTCAGGAAAACTATTTATTAGTCTCACATCATCTCTACACATCACAACAAATGTTGAAAATCAGCTGGGTATTATGTCATCATAACCTTATTAATAATAACCATCATCTTGATTATTATTATTATTATTATAGACCCAGCTGTGAAAAAACTGCAAGCAGACAAACATCTCATCTCTCTGAGAGAGGTTTAACATTTTCCCATCAACCCCAGCAGCGTACCTGCTTTGTCCACCTCCATTGGCTCTGGATCAGGCTGCACCACGGGACGTCCATCCACATGGGTGAAGACAAAAGGCTTCTCAGAGGCCAACATCAGCCCCTTCCCCTGAGGCTCCACTGCAGCGTAGTGAGGCACAGACTTCCCCCTGAGGACCCTCCTCTTCCTAACCTCATACCTCTTCTCCTGACCTGCATGAGGACAAAAACGTGTCAGATGATAGACACTTGTTTTCTAGGAACCTTGGCAAAAAAACAGGATGAGTATCAGCAGCTACACATTTTATTTGGGAGGTTAAGCCTGATTTATACTCGTCAGTCACCTCTGCAAAGGAGAGACGCACACGTACTGGCAGACGTTTTGCTCTCGGACTTCTCCGTCACCTGAGGAGTGTTGCAAAGCAATTCCCTGCCAGGACAACAGAGTGCGTACCATCTTTCTGTGGTATCCTGCCACCATTACTCTCATGTATCTGATCCACGATAGTGTATTTACTGGTGTGTTGATATATTTCAGAGACCATGTTTCTCGTCATTTCTGCCCATGAATAAAAGTTAGCTCTGTGTTTTGTACTCCTTCAGTCATGGGTGAATAAACATTCATAGTTTTGGACTTTTTCCATGACACGTTCTTCAACCTTTTCCAGTTGTGCTGCTAAATATCTTTTTACTTTTTGACGGGGCAATGACAGAACTGTTGACAAATTTAAAGGAAGTGGCATCCTGACCAATCACAAGCTTGTGGTCTCCGTCAGCCTCTGTAAACCTGTCAGAGAGCCCATGTGCAGATGCATAAAGGCGTTGTGTGTCTCTGCACCGACGCAGACGGAAAAGTATAAATCAGGCTTTAGGGTTAAGGGGACACTGCCTCCAAATATCTGCTGTGTTTTTTAATGGGAATATTTAATGATAACATTGAAAGGGATCCTGCTTCCTGTCTTTTTGCTTATTGTGTTCAAGCCGTGATCCAGCGATACTCAATCCTGGTCCTGGAGAGCTGGTTTCCAGCACGTATTTGTTGTTTCTCAACTACAGCACACCTAATACAGTGGTTGAATCTAGAGGCCGACCGACATGGGTTTTTAACCCTGCCACTGTCTTCATGGGTGACCCCGTGAGGAAAGTTGACCATTGAGCTGGATTGATGGTTTATCCTTTGAGGTCCATGTGGCAGGCGTGAGCACCACCTCACCCCTGCCACATGGACCTCAAAGGATAAACCATCAATCCAGCTCAATGGTCAACTTTCCTCACGGGGTCACCCATGAAGACAGTGGGAGGGTAAAAAATAACTTTGGCTGTTACAGAAAAAACTTAACATATCGGCCGGCTGATCGTTGCATCACCTACGCAGCAGCACACCAAGTTCTGCAGAAGCCTGTTAATTACCTGCTGAATGAAATCAGGTGTGATGAAGTAGAGTTACAACTAAAACATGCTAGATGCCAGCTCTCCAGGCACAACTGCTGTAAACCAATCATAAAAATGCTGTTGGATAGTACACACCAGATGGTAGGTCCCAACACAGTTTCCCTGGGAACATCCTAAATCAGATGTGCCAAACTCTGGTCCTTGCAATCCCGTATTCAACGTTTTAGTTTCACTTTTTCAACTCACCTGATATTACTCAGTGGTGATTAACATTCTTTTGCAGAGGCTGATGAGTTGCTGAACAGGCGATTCAGCCACTGAATCAGCAGGGAAACAACTAAAACATGGTGGATAGGGGATCTCATGGACCAGGGCTGGGTACAACTGATCTAAATATGTACCATAATGTCATTTTCATCAAGTACCGCAGCTATTTGCTAATGTGATTCTCACACATATGGCAATAAAGCCTTCTGGTTCGGATTATTATTAATGGTAATAATAATAATAAGACATATTATATGCTTCAGGACGCTGGGGTCATTGGCGATTCTGATTCTGATCATTTTACTAGTACAAGAGTTAGGTACAGTACTGGTTACTATCAAATATATGTTCATTACTACTACAACACTGTTCCTACATCATTTTAAAATAGAAGCTATTTAGAGTAAATCTTAGAGTTGATCAGAGTAAAGATCATTCTGCCAGCCAGTCAGATCCTGATAGGCCCACCAGAACTATGAACAGACAGACCAGAACCCTGTTTTGTCCACACAAACTTTGTGATTTATATAGAAAAACGTGACGTAAAAATGTGACAACTTTAAGCAAACCGGACCTGGAGGACACCCATTCTCCAGACCTCCAGACGGGAACTCTGGCAGAGCAGCCGGTGAGATGGTGAATTTAACACGCGCGCACACACAACTTTACCAAAGCTATCTTTTAATTGTCTTTTTAAGTGTATTTGTAATATGTTTCCAGTTCCTATAACCCACCACAAGGTGTGCACCAGCACCAAAGAGCAGACAAGAAAAAGATAAGTACTGAACTACTCTGGGGGGTCTGGGGGCATGCCTTCCTGTAAGAAAGTTTTGGAAATTTTAAATTTAAAAGCAGCAGTCTTACCCAATTTGACAAAAGGTTTAGAGTTACAGGCTGGTAAAAATGTATAATTGTATCTACACGTATTCATGGCATTATAATGGTATATTTGAGTTAACAATGTTATCCTGTCCTTTCTTTATTACACTTGGAACACCGACTACAGTAAAACCCACTGATGCATCCATGCTGCTCAGCACCAGAGCTGAGCTGATGTCACTAGTCACCAAAAGGCTGCTGGATGTGTCAGCGTACAGCATTTGCAAAAATACATGACTTTTAATTTAAGGAACAAAGTATAACCCAGCTGCTGTTGTTTATTTGTTGTTGCTGTTATATAGCAACTATCTGCAGGGCTTTAGGCCCAGGGCAGACTTTTATACCCGCTTTAGATCCAGACCTGCTAATAAAATCATGTATTCTTTACACCAGCCAGGAAACTCAGTAATGTGCACAGACATCCAAACCGTAGAAATTAAATATAATCAATAATAAAATCAATCTTTTTTTCATTAAAGATACTTTTAATATTTGATATAGCCTAGCTTTAGCAGACATCTGCTTATTTCTATCAGAGCTGAGCTGTGGGAGAAAATATTCTGGTTTATTTCATCTTATTTTCCATCAGCTGTGCTGTGGGTTTAGTGCATTTATTAACTTACTATCATTATAAATGTATATATATATAACAGCTCACTACAATCATCTGGGCATAGAAAGGGTTTCTAGCAGAACAGAAGCCTGTTGGCAGCAGCTCACCTGGTACTTCTACACTGACAGGAGAAATCCTCTCGTCATCAGCAGGTGATCAACAGAGACGTGACTGAACACCGACCTGAAAACCACCCAAACAGCTGACTACTACGGCGGCCTGTTATGCCCAAGGTCCTGGTACACCCTAACAGTTCTTTTTTCTATTATTATTTATTGCTTCTAATTTTAACCCTGTTTTAAATTATGTTTGGAAGAACTTTTGGGTATTTTAAATGTTTTGTTCTTGTTCTTCACCGTGTTATTTTTAACTTAACAGGCCCCTGATCCTTTTCTTTCTTTGACTACATTCCACAAAGTTTTCATGAATAAACACAACTCAGTAGATCTGTGGCTCGAAACCACCCACGCCTCCAACAGCGCTGTGTGTGTTGGTGGGAGGGTTTAGAAGTAGAGGTGTGAATCTTCACTTGTCTCCCGATTCCATTCGATTACGGTTATTGGGTCAGCGATTCAATTCGATTCGATATCCCGATGCATCACGATTACTTCATATTAATTTGTTTTCATCGATAAATAGAACATGTCAGATAATTGCTTTTTTTTTTAAATCAAAAACGTGACACAAGCTGCCATCCCTCAAAAGCTCTCCATCCACAACAGGTTAGGACAAAACATGTAAACATTTAAGAAGATTTAACAAAGTAAAACATCTGTTTCCTGGTTCAACACCACGCCTCAGGCTGAGAAAAACACGCTTTGCAAAAACTCACAAAATGTAAAAAAGTACTGAAAACCTACAGGACTCATCATGTAATAATAAAATACATAATGGGTTCATATATGAGTGTTTAATGTCTCTGAGCAGCTCTAGAGTCAGATATTTATGCCGCAGGTGAAGGGTGTCAGAAATAACACCAAATGAAATGTTTGACTTAGTTTATTTTATTTGAACCCAGTGGTTCGTTTCTGAAATGTTGGAGAATGAATCAAGTTCTGTTTGATGCAGAAAATAATAAAACATAAAACAAATTCTACACTCCAATAATATTTAAGATGTGTGTTTTATTCTTCCTGATAACAACACCAGCAGAAGGCTGTGGGCTGGATTAGGATTAAATTACCCAGCTGATGGATCTCCTTCACTAACCAGCTAACTACAAACCTTTCCACTGACCTGTCCTGTGGGACCCTCACCATGTGACCCTCATGTCCATGTGACCCTCATGTCCATGCTGTCTCTGGAGGAGCAGATAGGAGACAAGACCTCCTGTAACCTAAAATGAACCAAAGCTTCCTCCCAGTTTATCTTTAAGCTGAATTTAACATCAGTTTATCATCATGAAACAAAAGAATAAAGTGGAACAAGAACTTCTATCTTCTATTCCTCTCCTTTTAACTTCTCCGTCTCCCTAAATAAGAGAGACAGACGATCACGCTGCAGCCGCCATCATTGACCCCGCCCCCTCCCCAAGACCGGATCTCCTGACATCACAACACTCGGTCTGACTGAGCGCTTCTAGGAGAAACAATAATTACATTATGAAAATAATAACGCGTGTTTGGAGGAGCGTCCTCCAATCCTCTCTCTCTCTCTCTCTCTCTCCCTCCCTCCCTCAGTTGCTGTGCGAGCGAGCGGAGCGCGCCGCGTGACAACCCATTCAATTAACATAATTCACGGGCCAAGTCCAACAGAACCGGTCGGGCTGATTCGGTTCTGGTTCGGTCTCAGGTTACAACTCCAGCGCTCAGCCCTGCAGTACCACATAAAGGCGGAACCACTTGGTAAATGTGGAGAACGCTCACTCTGACAGATTTGGATGCTGCGCTGGTGCTGCCGTTAAAAAAACTAAACTACATTCCACTATAATCGTTGATGGCGGGTTAGAGTTAAACGATGCAGAATCGTTTATGTCCGCATCCCGATGCATCGATTGTTTTTGTAGTATGGAGTATAATCAGACTTGTTAATGTATGGAATGAAGTCTGGATTATGTCTCATTATGTGAAATCAATTCTAGGCTCTACAAGGTGTATCCGTGTGTGTGTGAAACCAAGCTATAGGCCTGTTACCTTCTCTTATCATGTTTGTGTGTGTGTGTGTGTGTGTCCAGGCAGCCTTCTAGCCCCCTGAAGCGTGAGGTGGTAAATTAGTGATGTGCCTTCACTCTGCTGATATGGCCTAACGATTCATGTTGTGGATATAAGCTGTTTTGACCTGGAAAGGTGTTGGGAGTAGAGTGTATGTTATCTTTTATCCTCTGTGGAGTTGGTCCAGATGCTATAAGCATATACATAAGACATCTTGACTGGCAACGAGGGGATGCCCATTTGACCCTGGGCAGAAGAAGAGGAAGATCATGTGACCAGACGTGGAGCCCCAGAAGCAGGGGTGTTGCCATGGAGATGCAACCCCTGAAGAATGCAGAGGGGAGAAGGACAGAGTGAATAAAATGGGCCATTCCCATCTGTACCGGGTCGGCCCGGGCCGGGTAGCTCCGGTCGGCCCCGGCCTGGCCCGGTTGATTCCACACATCCTTGCTTAGGTATGCAAGGAATGCAGTCAGAGACATTTTCAGCTTCTAGGTAATCAGCATGATGATGAATGATGATGAATTGAGCATGCCTTAAGCCAATGTGGGCTGATTCTACCCACCAATCAGAGGCTTGCTCTAATGGAAGGTGTGAATTTGCTGTCAGCAGTGGGTGTGTTGGCCCTGGTCGGCCTGAAGCAGACCCCCTCGAGAAGAGGGCTGAAAAACAGTCTTGTTGCACCCTGAAAAAGGCAGGCCACCAAGATATGTAAGCAAGCTCTGCTATCTGGGCCGGGCCGGGCCGGGCCGACCAGGTACAGATGGGAATGGCCCAAAAGAGAGTTGCTGAGTCTGTGGGAAGGGATTGCCTTTGATGGGAAGAGTGTGTGAGGTAGAGAGATGAAAAGAAGGAAGCTTTTGCTTTGAGCTTTTTGTCTGTGATAATCTGACCTAGTGTCATTTTTGGAGAGCTTATTCAGCTCAACTTTGCTATAACTCGGTTTATTGGCTAAGAGTTGTTTCACTTTTTAACCCGCTGTGTCGGGGGGTTTTGTTTGGATTATTATTCTTTTTTCATCTGTGTGAAATAAAACCTAGTTCCTCGGATTCGAGGAACGAAAAAAGGATTTACGAGTGGGGTCTCCTCCTGTCGGTAACCGAGCAAAGGAGAGATGCTGGCTGTAAATGCCATCCCTAGGTGTTATTGATATAAGTGTTTCCTCCATGGTAGGCTACAGGTAAAGTCAGGTGTCTCCTCAGCATAAAAGGAACAGCTGGCAAGGGTCTTCACCTGAAGTGTACATAAGCTTCATGGACTGGGGGTGTGTGTAGGTGTGTTTGAGCCTCCTTATTTCTACATAATGGTAACTTGGCCAGAATTAGAAGCCCTGGGTATTTTGGTGATTGCTAATCAACGCTCTACATATTTAAGGGTGTTTGTTGGTAATTCATACCATGCCCACTATACCGATTGCAAGTCAAACCCTGAGATTTTGAAACATCTAAACTAAGAGTTGAGTTAGCCGGTAAATTGGCTTGCACAATTTTCCTCAGCTCTATTAAGAAGCACAGGGGCACCTAATCACTGACAGGCTTCTCTGTTATTAATTATACAATTTGCAGACACAAAAACGGACAAAAACACAGAAAATGCAGACTAAAAATATCGTTTGCCTCGTCACTTTGGAGCCCCTATGCGTCGCTTACACTGCATACCCACTTTTTGCAACACTGTTTGAGAGAAACCACAATAACAGAAGATCCAGCTGCCTCTTCAGCACCCACCAGGTCCTGCAGAGTTCTGGACAGTGATCCACTCCAGACACACAAAGTAACCGCTCCCTTTGCTTTCCTCCGAGTCTTTCTGGATGCGAAGCAACAAAACCTCCATGATGTGGACACCAGCTTGGACGTGAGAGATGCTGTGGAGGAGGATGAAAGGGTCGCCGATGTCCTCACTGAACAAAGGCTGTGAAAGGACCAAAAAACCAATCATGATCATGATCAGCAGATCTGATAAGGTTCTCCAATGAAGACCTCCACTCCTCCTGCCTCAGTGCAACCTCTGAACTTTCTATCTGCCTCTAATCCACTGAGCTTTGCTTGTGTCAGTGTGTTCTAGAGCAGCTGCCATCACCATCGGTGTGTGAATGAGTCACTATAGTGTAAAGGTTGGTTTATGCTTGACGCGTCCGCGAGGTCCGCACGGCTCCGCGCGGCGAAATTGCATCATTTTAACAACCATGCCCCTCCACCGCGTCTCCGCACGGCCCAAAATTTCCGCACCGCGCACCTAGGAAATTTTCTAACCACGCAGAAAAACATGGCGGACCGGCAAGAACTAGTATGGCAGAGGTTCGTAAAGACAGACATTTGTATGATTCAGCTCTCTGAAATCACCGTGATCAACATGTTGTTAATAATTCTTGGAGAGAAATAGCTCGCACTGTCGGAAAAGACGAGGACGCTGTTAAAAATGCTGAAATGCCGTGTTGTAATCAGTGATTTCTACTTCTACTATGGTGTAGTGTTGGATGCATGGAGAGAGATGGCGCTTGCGCACGGTCACGCTGCGAGCTGCTCGTCCTCTTTACGCACTGATGCCTTGCATTTTATCGGTTTTTATTGGCGTTTGATTGGCTTTTATGCACTTTTCTTGTCGCTGATCCCTTTTTTGAATGGTGTGGATCCTCTGCTGACATATGATCGAGCTGCGCTGCTGAGGCTTCGTCCTTCCGTTGATGTAGCCGGCAGCGCGCGCTGGGAACCGGGCTGTGCGAGCTATGAACCTCACGGACGATGCTGCTGGTTGAACTGCCCGCGTGCTCTCTCCACCCAAGCCGTGATGTGTCGGCCCTCTGTCCGCCCCAGCTCGAGAAGGAAGCATCGGAGAAGACGAGGAAAGAGAGGTAGCCGGCGCGTGAGACGTCGGCCTGGATCCCTGAACAAGCGGCTGGCCCGATCCGGCCCAGCTTCTGACCCGATGTTTCCGAGATGTCTCCTGGATTACTCGGCGCCCTGCCCAGGGAACTCGGCCGGCTCTGATGGTGTATCGGCACCGCGCCACGGCCGATCGGCTCGAAGATCTCGCCAGACTGGGGTTTGCTGGGAGAATCTGCGCTCGGTTACGGGCACAGAGTTAGAGGGGACTGGGTCCGTGCGCGATCTCTGTGCTGCAGCCCCAGTTTGGTTTGGTCAATGCCAGGTCTGTGCTGAACAAAACTTTTATTCTTCGTGACTTTTTTATTCAGCATGACCTGGGTTTTCTCTGCATCTGTGAGTCCTGGATCCCGTTTGGCGACACAAGTTCCCTACTCGAGCTCATAACACCTGGCTGCTTGTGTTTTAATATCCCCAGGTCACGGGGTAGAGGTGGAGGGCTGGTTGTTGTTTTTAAATCCAGCTTTCCTTGTAAACAGCTTACAGCCACCATGTCATTTTCTTCCCTTGAACTGTGCTTATTTGAGCTGTGCATCTCCCCCCGCCTGCTCGTCGTGCTGATTTATCGGCCTCCAAAGACTGACTCTAACTTCCTTAATGATTTCTGTGATCTTGTGGCAGACTGCATCCTAAAATATGATTATGTCCTATTTTTTGGTGATTTTAACATCCATATCTGCTGTCCTGACAATGTGTTTGCTAAAGGTTTTTTTAATTTGCTAGATTCATTCAATCTAACTCAATGGGTATCATCCCCAACTCATGCCAGGGGTCACACCCTGGACCTGGTTATCTCTTATGGTCTCCCTGTCATGAACCTGGTGACTTTGCCTCCTGTGTTCTCTGACCACTCTCCAATACTCTGTGATGTTGCGCTGCCATGTCCTGTCCCTGTGTGTGAAGCTCCAGCTACTAGGTTCAGAGCCCTGGATGCAGAAACTATTTCAAAGTTTGTGGACTGTATGTCTGTAAGGTTAGAGACCTTTAACCCTGATTCATCTAACGTTGATCACTATTCACAACACTTTGATGTACTTTGTAATCAGGTCCTGGACGTGGTTGCACCTCTCAAGCTTTGCAAGTCTCGGCCTAGGAGGGAGCCTTGGCTCTCTGATGTCACACGGGCTTGCAGGCGGGCGTGTAGATCCTCTGAGAGAAAGTGGAAAAAGGATGGCCTACAGGTCTCGCGTGAGTTGTTCAGAGCATCTCTGGTTGCTTATCAGGATGCTGTGAGGGCTGCCAGAACGGCCTATTTTGCAGACATCATTGAGACAAACTCCAATAATCCTAAGATTCTCTACAGAACACTAAACTCTGTTCTGGTGTATCAGGAGCCTAGCTCCATGTCTCCTACAGCTGCTGGAAACTCTGAAGCTTTTCACAGATTCTTTGTTGATAAAGTGTCGGGCATTAGAGCAGCTATTTCTGGTAACTCTGTTGACCCTGTTCCAGTTCCTCCATCACCACCCACCCTGAGCTCCCTCAATACAGTTTCATACTCTGAGCTGAGTAAGCTAGTTGCGAGGCAGAAGCCATCTGGCTCTCCACTTGACGTTCTGCCGCCTCGTCTCTGGAAGGCTGCCTTTCCGTGTCTTGGCCCTTCACTTGGTCAGATTATCAATGGGAGCCTCAGCACAGGTGTGGTCCCAGCTGCTTTGAAAGCAGCAGTTATTCGGCCGACCCTGAAGAAACCTGGTGCTGATGTCTCTGTGATAGAAAATTACAGGCCTATCTCTACCCTGCCCTTTACATCTAAACTGCTTGAGAAAGTCGTTTATCAGCAGCTGGTCTCACATTTAGCTGACTCTGATCTGTTTGAGGTTTTCCAATCAGGGTTCAGGTCTGGCCATAGCACAGAGTCAGCTCTACTGAGGGTCCTAAATGACATCTATCTATCACTAGATCAGGGAACATCTGGGGTGCTTCTGTTATTAGACCTGACAGCAGCCTTCGACACAGTTGACCACGCGATTCTACTCGATCGCTTGGAACGATGGGTTGGGATCAAAGGGTCAGCTCGGGACTGGTTTAGATCGTATCTCCAAAACAGGACATTCTGTGTTAAACTGGGTGATGTTTTTTCTTCTTGGGAGGGGCTCCGCTGTGGGGTCCCGCAGGGGTCGATCCTTGGTCCTCTTTTGTTTGCCATTTATCTGCTACCTCTGGGGTCAATCTTTCGTAAACATGGCCTATCATTCCATCTGTATGCTGACGATTGCCAGATTTACTCTCCATTGTGTCAGGAGAAAGGTCACTCTATTCAGTCCTTTGTGTCCTGTCTTAACGAGGGGAAGTCTTGGCTAATGGCCAACGTTCTACATCTGAATGAGGGAAAGACAGAGCTCATTGTTTTTCACCCCAACAGCAGGAATGTGGATCGTTATGCTGATCTTGGCCCTCTTTCTCTATACTCAAAACCAGTTGTTACCAGTTTGGGGGTGAAACTTGATGCTGGACTTAAATTTGATGCTCACATCAATTCTGTGATCCGGTCCAGTTTCTTTCACCTGAGACGCCTTGCTAAAATCAAGCCTATGCTGTCGAGAGTCCACCTGGAGCGGGTACTACATGCCTTTGTAATTTCTCGGCTTGACTACTGCAACTCTCTCTATGCAGGGTTGGGTCAGTCAACACTGCGTCGCCTACAGGTTGTGCAGAACAGCGCTGCCAGGTTCCTGACTGGGACCAGGAAACGGGACCACATCAGTCCAGTTCTGGCCTCCCTGCACTGGCTTCCGATTTCCTATCGCTCACAATTCAAAATCCTCGTCTTTGTTTATCATTTCTTCCAGGGTGGTGCTCCCCCCTATCTGGCCACACTCCTGAACAGACATTCCCCATCACGCGCTCTGCGCTCCTCTGACCAAGGCCTGCTCGCTGTCCTTCGGTCTAGGTGTCGTACCCGTGGGGACCGGGCTTTCTCAGTCCTAGCACCGTTACTCTGGAACCAGTTGCCACCCTCAGTTAGGCTGTCCCCTTCTCTGCCAGTCTTTAAGAATCACCTAAAAACACACCTCCTCCGCTTGGCGTTTCCAGAACATGTTTGATTTTGGCCCTCTATTATGTTGAATCCATTCCACAGTTTTCATTGGTACACTCAATCCATCCACTCAATCCAATTGTGTTTCACACATTTGTATTTTACCGGAATGTTTCATCTATCTTGTTATTTCCATTTTGTATTTTGTAATTTGAATTTCTTTTATTGTTGATTTATTCAGTATAATTACTTACAACTGTACCATGTTCAGCGCTTTGGGCTTCCTGACAGGGTTGCGGAAGGCGCTTTATAAATAAAGCTTTGATTGATTGACTGATTGATTGTAGAGCTCCATGCTGCCCCCTACAGTTTGGGAGAATATTGGCTCACCGCAGAGACGAGCCGCATGAACCATAAACGCTGCGAGTTGTGAAGCGCGTTCCATCCGCGAGCCGCATCACCACGCGGAAAGTGAATGCGTCAAGCATAAACCAAGCTTAAACAGCTTTGGAGTTCTCCAATGCAGAAAGGTGCAGTTTTTTTTGTCATCAACTTGATATTATGTCATCTTAATCTGTTTGGCTAACAGTGTGATTTACAGCCAGAAGCAAACCAACACCAGGGCTAAACGTCACATAAAACAGGACTGAACCATCAGGGGGTTAGGGTTACTTTTAGGCATGATAACTAGTCCTACTTTTCTGCCTGCTTGTATTTGTCTGTATTTTTGCGGACCGACAGGTTTAGTCCAACATTCATTATTTGGATGGTGAAGAATTATTGGAGCAACTCCTCTTCAGCAGTGCTTTTACCTCCCACTTGGTGTGAGCACCGTCTCCTCTCTTGCCGGTGCGGAGGAGGTACAGTCGCCCGCTGCCGTCAGAGAGAGCTGCCCAGGTGGCCGAGGTGAGGCTGAGGGAGGCGCAAAGGTGGTCCTCATGCTGCCTGGACACTACTGCAGGGACACAGTACACCTCCTTTGGTTTCCCCATAGCGGTGTCCTGCATTCACAAACACAAAACATCATTCACAGCAGTACAGACTAGGCTAGCAACGATTAACCAGTTTGACAATTTTGCTGCTTCCACATATGTCCTGATCTGACCCAGGCTGGGCGACATTGGTCTGGGTCCTGCACCGGTGGGGTTTGTACACACAATTTTCAGGAAGGCAGAAATCTCCGAGCATATGTACGGTGCAAAAGACGTGTGGAAAAGTGGTGTCTCCCTTAAATGAAACCAAAGCAGCCGTGAGCAGTGTTGTTTTTGGACACTGACTTTGATATTGCATACAGACTGCTGTCTGTCCTGGCGAGGGGCAGGTCAAGCCTCGACAGCGCTGTGAGTGTGTGTGTGTGCTCCTAACCTTAACCCTTCAGTCAGATGAGATGTTTACTCCAGAACTTATCCTGAATAATTACAAATCTACACTCCTGTCAGGGATTTAAGGCCTAGTTCCCAGTCATTGGAGGATTTGAAGTCATTGCTTCAAACTTGTTTCTTTGACCTGGCTTTTAATGTTGGTCGATCTGTGTAGCTAATAGCTATTCTTTTATTTTGTCTAGTTTTACTGAGCTTTTCTTTCTTGATCGTGTAACGTCCACAAATGGTCAGTTTTCATGTACAGTTTGACCTCTTCAGTATCTGGCCATATGGCGACACGAGTCTACATGTGTTGCCTTTAATCTGCAGGATCCTGCATTCCATCAGCTGGAGTTCAGAGCCTCTCTGCAGCTCTGAACACGGGAACATTCGGGAGGGGCTCGGAATAGACCCGCAGCTCCTCCACATCGAGAGAAACCAGTTGAGGTGGCTTGGGTATCTGGTCAGGATGCCTCCTGGATGCCTGCCTGGTGAAGTTTTCCGGGCACGTCCAACTGGGAGGAGACCTAAAGGAGACCCAGGACACGTTGGAGGGGCTATGTCTCTCAGCTGGCCAGGGAATGCCCTGGGATTCCCCAGGAAGAGCTGGCACAAGTGGCTGGAGAGAGGGAAGTCAGGACCTTGTCTGGGCCTGTCGACTTGGGCTGCTGCCCCCATGACCCGATCCCGGAAAAGCAGAAGAAAATGGATGGATTAATTCCTATTCTACATAGCTATAATCTAATTTATCCTTCTCCAGATAGTACGCTGCGCTTGACTGGTTCTGCACCTACTTTGACAACAGGTCTATTAGAGTTAGGATGGATGACTGTTCATCTCCCTCTGCTGCTCTTCCTTGGGGCGTGCCACAGGGGTCTATTCTCAGCCCCCTTTTATTTAGCATTTATATTCTTCCACTGGGACTAATCTTCAGGAAGTTCAACATTAACTTTTATCTTTCTGCGAACGACTGCCAGATTTATGTTCCTTTGAAGACTTTTACCTCCATCCAGCCGCTCCTTGATTGCCTGAGTGAGGTTAAAGACTGGCTGTCAGCAAATTTTCTGCTGCTGAATGATTTTAAGACCGAGCTTATTAATGGCTCGTCTTCCTCCGCTCCTGATTTTTCTGCTCTTCCTTTTAAAATTAGTCAAACAATTGTTAATCTTGGTATTAAAGTGGATGTGGCTCTAAAAATGGACCCTCATGTTAATCACATGGTTAAATCATGTTTTTAGCAGCTGAGATGTCTTTCCAACCTAAAACCCATTCTGAATCGGCGCCACCTCGAGACAACCATTCACGCTTTCATCACCTCAAGGTTGGATTACTCCAATGCAATTCTGTTTGGCATTTCAAAAGCCGCATTATCTCGCCTTCAGCTTATACAGAATGCGATAGCAAGATTTCTGACCAACACGGGCCGTCAGCAGCACATCACTCCAGTTTTAGCAAGACTTCACTGGCTTCCTGTGCACTATCGTAAACGTTTTAAAATTTTATTGTTTGTTTTTAAGATGTTGAATGGCTTAGCACCACCTTACATATCTGAGTTACTCACTCCTTATGTGCCAGGCAGGACTCCGTTCAGGTGACCTACACTAGAGCCCTGCACGGGCCTAAAATCTGAGCCCGTGTCCGGCCCGGGCCGAGAAGGTTTTAAGGATTCTCTGGCCCGACTCGAGCATGAGCCTGATTTTTTTTAACCTTTCATAATGTTTTAGCGTGATAGAATGCTCCACGTTCTAGTGGGAAGCGTTCTGCAGTAAAAAAAAAAAGAAAAGGAAGAAAAATCAGCATCAATGCAGCTTTTTTTCTAACAGAGCGTATTTTTCGAGCGGCAGATGAAATTTACGAACAACATATTAATTGGATGCGTTAGTAAATTTAATCTGCTCTGAAAATGCGCTCTTGTGCAATTAGAAAAAAAAGCTGCATTCTAATTTTCTAACTGCGAGCGCATTTTCAGAGCGGCAGATTAAATAAACGTTCCCAATTAATATAGCGTTTGTAAATTTAATCTGCCGCTCTGAAAATTTGCTCTGCAGTTAGAAAAAAACAGCAATGAATGCTGTTTTATTTTAACTGCAGAGCAAATTTATTCACAGAAAAACAGAACGCTGCCGTTTTCATGAGGATAAACGAATGTTTCTGACATCAGAGTGGACATAAAACGGCGTGTTAGAACAGGGGCACATGTTTCAATCAGCTGTTTGAGAATTCATTTATATCGGCGCATTTATAAACCACACACACCTTAACTGAGCTAACGGTGCGAGAGAAGCAGGCAGGTGCTGCTGCGTTCAAGTGTTTCAGTTTTTTTTTATGAATTTGATTAAAAATAAAGGCGCCCGGCCCGTGTCCGAGGTAATTACACAGTCGTTGGCCCGAAGCCCGGCCCCGACCCGCGGGCCTAGGGCTTCAGGGCAGGGCTCTAACCTACACCTACTACAGATTCCCCGTCTACGCTGCAAAACCCGTGGTGAACGAGCTTTTTCTGTCTGCACTCCGAAACTCTGGAATGATCTCCCGTAGAATATCAGACTCTCCCCCTCCATTGGGGTTTTCAAGTCTCACTTAAAGACTTAATTTTATTCCCTTGCTTTTACTGCCTAGCTATTTTATCGATGGTTTATTTACACTGTTGTTTACCGATTTTATTGACTTCTCTTGTTTGGTTCTTTGTGCTCTAGCTGTTTTATTCTTTTATATTATTCTTTTAACCTTATATGTTTTTACCCCTGTACAGCACTTTGGTCAGCTCACATGCTGTTTTTAAATGTGCTCTATCAAATAAATGGAATGGAATAAATATAGATATGAACAAGTAAAAACTATATTTAAGAACATCCATAATAACTGCACTAGTAGGATTTAATAAGGTGTCTCCATCCTTCGGAGATGCCTAGAATAAACATCATGTGTTAACCCTAACTGGTTGACAACAATTAGCCCTTTTTCTTGTTTTATACAAATTCAAAAAAGGCTAAAAGAGATTTCTAATGAAAAGTACTTAAAAACTTGTAAACTGTCATTTCAAACTGATAGCAATTTCTTTGATTTCACTAATTACATTTTCTAAACAGAATATCTGAAAAGCAGCAGTAAAAATGTCCTTTAAAACCTTTATAGACAGGGTTTGTGTGGTTGAGGTTGATACAGATGTGAAATCAACTCATGCAAATTTATTACTGTAATCGTGAAACCATGGTTATTTCTCAGACTAGAATCATATTTGAATTTGTTGTTGCATGTCAATAGTATTAATATACAGTCATGTAGTTAATAGAACAGAAAGTGGGACAGCAGCAGCTCAGGAGGTTGAGCGGGTTGTCCATCGGAAGGTTGGTTCAAAGATAATCGGAAGGTTGCAGGTTCGATCCTGGCTCCGACCAGATAATTCTGCTGTTGTGTCCTTGGGCAAGACAATTAACCCTTCTTGCCTGCTGGTGATGGTTGGAGTTGCTGGTGGTGCCAGTGCTCGGCAGCCTGACCTCTGTCAGTGGGCCCCAGGACAGCTGTAGCTACTTTGTGGCTCATGCCCACCAGTGTGTGAATGTGCGTGTGAATGGGTGAATGACTGATTGTGTTGTGAAGCGCCTTGGGGGGTTGTAGAACCCTAAGAAGGCGCTATACAAATACAGGCCATTTACCATTTATAGAAAAAAAGTTTTAAAATCGCAGACCCAAATCGATATCTGATCAAATTATGATAATTCATTCTAAATCTTGAGAATCGAAATCAAACTGGTCCTTGAAATTTGAATGGTCACCCAGCACTAACATGAAGATCAACACCTACAACATTTTTACAAATCTTACCAGAGTCACAGAGAGACTGAGAACTCGTCCTTTGCAGTCCACGAACAGGATGCTGTCTTCATACCAGTAGTCCAAGTGCAGGTAGTTGAACATGCCAAATGCACGCATGTGCTCCAGGGTGTACTGATCATCCTTCAGTTTCAGCTCTTCCACAGCTGAAACGTGGTAAAAAGAAGGTCAGAAGTTCCATAACAATAATAAATAAACAAACAAATAAATAACCAGGCGAACATCAGAACCATTGCCCAGCAACACTCCAGGGGTTCTCATGTATCAACCATACCAATGAACAGTCCTGTGCGTGTATGGCACCTAGGGAACTAATGTACACAGTGTGTGGTGTTCATCATTTATGTGGAAATATTCCTAAACATAAGAAAACTTCAGACCATGTGTAAGAACAGCATCTAGTGGTAGAACAGGGGAACCACAGCACTGAAGGTCTCAGTCATCCACTAATTATTTTACCCATTAAATAAATATTTTGGGTGGAAAAACAGCTGAGTCACATGACTGGTGCTAAATAATGGGAATCTGACTTTGTAGAATGGATGTCATGTTTTTGTAATCACAATTTGTACTCTTCCCATTTTTATTATGTTTTTAATCTTTTTAATGAATAAATATGATTTTAATTTAATTATATTATGTTTGCATCCTTGTGGAACGCCTCGTGAATCTGCTTGGGAGGCGTTAGATAAAAGATCGTTTCTATATTATTATTAAGGATTTGTCAGAGCCCCTCTCTGGAGGAAACGCGTTTCCGTGAGCGCGCCGACAGCAGATCCGCTGCACAGTGGTTAGAGCTGTTGCCTTGCAGCAAGGAGGTCCTGGGTTCGCTTCCCAGCCAGGGATATTTCTGCATGGAGTTTGCATGTTCTCCCTGTGCATGTGTGGGTTCCCTCTGGTCCAGGGTGTCTGGTCCATCACATGCACGAATAAATCATCCATCATTATTTTTTGGACTGACGATTGGCGGTGGGAAAAATGATACAAATCGCCCAACCCTAGTTTTGACCGTTTGTACGAATATTCTCAATTGCGTTCAAAGGAAGGAATTAAGGAATTTTTCTATGAATATTTGATACATGAGGCCCCAGGATAGTCTGAGCTGGATCAGGACTGGTATTGTGACATAAAGTGATGGTCTGCTCAAAAATGATTGCACGCTGGTTGCGGCATCATGTTTCAGTTATCGCCCAGTAATCCATCACTGGTGCCCCTTTCACTACTCATCATTGTGATCTGTACTCACTCGTTAACTGGCCATCACTCCATTCCTGCAGGATGTTACATCGGTATCAGTTCATATACAAAACCATCATCGGTAGAACCCTGTCTCATTACTCATCACTTCTAACAACCAGCACAATTTATGCTCCAGTAACTTCACCTCTATGGTTATTCCCAAAGCCCAACTCAACTTTCAACTCAGCCTTTATTCATAGAGCACCTTACAGACTTAAAACATGCGGCCAATGCGCTTCAGTTCACAGACAAAATAAAATCTAATAAAAAGAGAAAAACAAACACAGACAGTATAAAAACGGTAACATAATTTAAATTAAAAACTAACAGAGAGCGGAGAAAGCCAAATCATTAAAGTAGGTCTTCAGCCTTGTTTTAAAAACAGCCACAGAAGTAGAAGCCCTTATAGAGAGAGGAAGCTTGTTCCAAAGCTTTGAGCCAGCCACTGACAAGGCTCTATCCCCTCTCATCTTCAGACGTGACTGAGGGACCAAAAGCAGCAGAAGATTCTCAGAATGAAGTTTTCAAGTTGGGGCACGTGGCCGTAATAAGGCTGCCAGTTAAGACGGTGCCAATTAATGCAGAGACCTGAAGACCAGTAAAAGAAGTTTAAAACCAATTCTAAAAACAATGTGCAACCAATGTAATGCAGCCAAAATCAGGATAAAATGGTCAAAATTCTGCTTGCCCTGTAAAAACTAGGCAGCTGCATTTTGCACAAGCTGTATCCTGGTTATAGTACCCTGGTTTGCAACAAATAGGACCGAATTAAAATAGTCCAGGTGCAGTGATAAAAGCAATGACTACCAACTCAAGATCACGTCTTGACAGGAGAGGTTTCACCTGAGACAATCATTGCAGATGATGAATGAAGGAGACCACACGTAACTATCCAAACACAGGGTACTAGCCATCTTCACTCCAAGGTCTACTGCCGATGCCCGTAACTGAGAGCCAAAAACACCACAATCAATTGCTGAGAAATTAATTCAACCACTTGGCTCAAACAGTACTGCCTCTTTTTTACTGCCATTAAGACAAAGACATCCATGTCTTGACTTCAGCTAAACACTCCAAGAGGTTGGCGATGGGGTATCTGCCAGACTTACCTAGAGGCACAAATAGCTGGCAGTTATCAACATAGAAGTGAAAGCTAACACCAAATTTACACAGAATGTCACCTAGGGGGAGAACGTAAATCAAAAACAGCAAAGGACCCAGTATGGAGCCTTGCACAACCTCCAAGGAAGGTGGGCAAAGACAGAAAAGCCTCCCACCCTCACACATATCATCCTGTTAGCCAGATATGATTTAAACCACTCCAAAACCAGACCTGAGATCCCAACGTAATGTTGCAGCAGCACTCCATGATCCACTGTATCAAATGCAGCAGTGAGATCAGGCAGAACGAGCAGCAAAAACTTGCCATCGTCAGCTACTAAAAAAATATGATCAGCATTTTAGCAGTGCCATCTTAGTACTGTGAAGTACTTTAAAACCAGGCAGAAAAGTTTCCAGAATAGTATTTCCATTCAAAACTTCTAATAACTGGGCAGGAACACATTTCTCAAGCAATTAAGTTAAAATGGAAGCTTGGAAATAGGTCTATAATTTAGAAGAAGAAGAAAATATCATTCTGTAGCGCCTCTCAAGATAAAAATCACGAGGCGCTTCACAAAAACAAAAAATGTAAAAAAGCATTTATAAAATGTTTAAAAAACATATTTAAAATGAGCAAAAATAGACAACTGTGATTGAAAAATGTAAAGAAAGAGAGAGACTGAACAGGAAAGAGGGAAACCAGTGGATCCTGAGGAAGGTGGAATAGGTGGGGAGAGCAGAATAAAGAGAGAGAGGTGAAGAAGGTCATACAAAAGCCAGCTTGAACAAGTGAGTCTTCAGCTGCTTTTTAAAGGAGACCACTGAGTCCACTGATCTCAGACTCAGGGAGAGAGGTCCAGAGTCTGGGGGCCACAGCAGCAGATGATCTGTCACCTTTGACCTTTAGCCTGGTGCTGCACAACCAGTAGGCTTTGATCACTGGACCTCAGGGACCTGCTGGGGGTGTAGGGACTAAGAAGATCACCAATGTAAGATGGTGCTTGTCCATGTAAGGCCCTATAGACCAGAACCAGGATCTTGAAATGAACCCTGAAATTGACTGGCAGCCATTGAAGCTGGAGGAGAAGCGGGGTGATGTGGGTGTGTTTGGAGGACTTGGTCAGAAGCCGAGCACAGGCGTTCTGAACCACCTGTAGACGGAATGTACATAGTTAACCGGTTAATTGCTGATAATGTTGTGACCAGGTAAACTAGTTTTTCCCACTTAACTGCTTAAAGTCCTTCTGCTGCTCTGGGTGCAATATATTTTGTGCCACCAGATGGCGAAAGTGCGCCGTTATCAAATATGTTTAGTGGGTGATCGCAGAAGAAGAAATGAGCTTGTCACATGACCAAACAAATGTGCTCAAACAGGAAGCGGTTGACAACATGGCAGCGTTGGAGCAGTTTAGTTATTTAATTCTTGCAACACAAGAAGTCTCACATCAAAGCGCTGAGCCTGGCAGAACATGGGGCAGCAAACTGAACCGAGACCTGCTACAGGTCAATGTGCCATGATGCTCCATGTGTCTGAATCCTAATTTGTTTGTGTCTGAATCCTAATTTGTCTAGTAGGTAGGTAGGTAGGTTCACACAAATACATAAAAAGACAATTAAAAGATATTAGAATGCTATCATCGTTAAAAAAACTTTAAGAATTCAAAATTGTAATTGCAGTGGGAACTAATGATTTCTTATAGACACCTTTCTTGGCCATTGGAACCCTGAACCTCCTTCCTGATAGAAGTAACTGAAATTGTGGGTTCAATGGATGGGTTGAGTCTAAACCATCGACATATAAATATTGGACGATGGGTTTCCACAGGCTCCAATAACACGTTTTTGAGACCAAATGGGAGGGGGCCACCACCGCCGTTTTGACCGTGTCACAGGTTCCGTCAAGCCCAGACAATTCCATAAAAGGGAAGAGAGGAGGAGCTGAGGGTGGGGCTGTAAGGCTGGGATCAACTGACGACACCCGGTCGAACTAGCTACAAGCTAACCTGAAGCTAACCCAAAGCTAACGCGGAGGTGGGAGCTAAGCTAACGGAGGTAGCAACCTAGCTACAACCGGAGTTATCTGTGCACAACACCACAGCTTCTGAGTCAGAGATACGCCGGGCTGACCGCTGGGGAGAACCGGGTGGAACACAGAGTTCTCCCGAGAGCTCCACAAGCCGATAGTGGGAACCCAGCTCCACCAACATGTTATATTTCAACCCATTTTCTAAAGTGCAGCATTATGTTAAATGCACTGGGTTTTACCCTATTACATTTACATTTCATGGTTAAACAGTACATGTTAAAATCTAAGCTCAGCTCGGCAGTGACCTAAAATACATAAATATAATTTTACTTACCGAAAAAATGAAGTGGAGACTCCTTGGACGCTCTATTAGTGCAATTAATGCCACAGCAAGTCATTTTGTCCAACAATTGCACAAATACAGGTGCTGGCCAGTAAATTAGAATATCATCAAAAGGTTGAAAATATTTCAGTAATTCCATTCAAAACGTGAAACTTGTACATTATATTCATGCAATGCACACAGACCAATGTATTTCCAATGTTCATTACATTTAAATTTGATATTCATAAGTGACAACTAATGAAAACTCCAAATTTGGTATCTCAAAAAATTAGAATATTCTGAAAAGGCTGAATATAGAAGACACCTGCTGCCACTCTAATCAGCTGATTTACTCAAAACACCTGCAAAGGCCTTTAAAAGGTCCCTCAGTCTTGTTTTGAAGGCACCACAATCATGGGGAAGACTTCTGACTTAACAGCTGTCCAAAAGACAAT